CGGTGAGCCGGGACTCCGGCAGTGAGGTGTGGGTATACGGTGGTTGAGTGTGACGCGGTCGGGGTGCGGTGGAACTGCAGCGTCGTGCAGCTTGCAGGCGACTCTCCGCCGTGTCGGTGGTGGCGGTGTGAATTGGCGTTTGGAGTGGTCAAGGGTTGTAGGCGGCGGCAGTGAGGAAGGGATGTGACTGCACCTGCAGGTACATTTACCACGGCGAGGGCAGGGGGTGGCATAGGGGTAGGTTGCGGAACAGAGGAAGGCGGTCGCGTTGGCGAACGTATTGATCCAACGGCGGCGGCGGTGGGGCGAACCGGGACCATGGGTGGGAATGGAGTGACGTGGACCCCTGCACCCCGGCGCAACGCGCAAAATGTTGCGTAACTTTGGGGAAAGGGGGGGACACCGGGCGGCTACGAGAAGGGGGCTGACGCTCGGCGCGCCCGGTGCATCGCCTCCGCGACCGATATTTCGGCGGAGGCACAGGAACTGCAACCCGTCGCGGTCGCCGGGTAGTCGTAGGATTTTTTTAACAGCATGATATAAATCATTAAATTTATTTGTTTTCTTATTTATAGTATTATGACATTTCTTCTATGTGGCAGAATAGTTTTAATCGTTGCTGTTATTGTTCGCCAGAGAAAAACAAAACGAATTTGGTTTTATTTACCGTTTTTTGTGCACTGAGCAATTTTATTTTTGTAAAAAAAGATAACGCTCGATTTAAACGGTCTGCGGGTAGGCGTGTACATAAAAAAGAAACCTGCTTACAACTCGTTACAGATTGCATTTGTCGGTATGAAATTCGAATACTCGTAATATTTTAATTGTGAATTTATACGTTTGCCTTATATGACGTGGGGCGGCAAAATCAATTTTACATTTTTATATAGGTTAAATGCCATTTGAACGCAAAACGCTTCCGTCACTGGAAAAAAAAAATACAATTTTCGTATAATAATGCTTTATCGATTTGTTCTCGACAAAAAACTCCATTTTTTCCGGTAACGTTGGCGGTCGATGATTGCACTTGCGCGGCTCTCGTTTACACACAGCTTTCTGAATATTTAGATACACCGCGTGAGTAAAATTGTTGGTCGGTTTTCAGAACTTAAAAGTGTTGCGTTTCGGTAAAAAAGAATCAAGTATTTTATGATTGCTTAATATCATTGAATGTTTATAAAATATAAACATTAAAGATTATAGTATTCTGATCTAGAATTTAAAATTTAAAATAAATGCTAAATGCTATAAATCACAACAGTGTTGTTTTGAAAATCTTAAAAAAAAATGAAGAACACCAAATCATATCACTTATTCTACATAAGCAAGAAATATTTTTCCAATAAATGATACACACATTGTATTATTGTATATTTATATGTCGACGACGTCTTATAAATAATTCTCTATCTGAACATAAAAAAAATAGTTCATTGTACACAAAACATAATAATAATAATAATAATAATAATATGCAGAATTGAAACATGCATCGCTCCGCTCAAAATCTAAAATATAACATTTGTTGATATCACTGCAGCAAGCAAACTTGTGCTCGAAAGCTGTATAATAGCTGCTGCTATATATACTAGGTAACTGTATATATTATTCCAAAACATTTTAATCTAACTTTTTTGCGATACGAAAACGAATAACGACGTGTTCATTGCTTTCATTCAGACGCAATTGGCGAAGTATAAAAACATTCTTAGGGTTCCCGGCGAAGGGGTGTTTAGCTGTTATACGGTGTTGTAGATAAGAAAGAATAACCGCGGTGCAATAAATAAAATAATAATAATAATAATAATAATAATAATAATAAACGGCGCTCCAGCAACGAATACGTTTTTTTTCACGTCAAGTGCCGGGAAAACTTTTTTAAAAAATAACTTTATAATTAATACGGCTAATTATAACGATATCTGCGATTTCCGGGGGACGATAAGGCGGCGTCGGCGGTTCGGGAATTTACACACAATGCATACACCTATCTTAATAATACGGTATCACGCATGCGCCAAACTTTGTGTAAATTCATATAAGCCTCGGAGGCGACGGCAGTTGAACATAATAGCGAGGACCGGCCGAAAAAAAATTAACTATAAAGAGTTTGTGAGCAGGCCGTGAGGGGGTGTACACATTTTTGTGGGCTGCCGACCTGCATATTTTATAATCCTACTGGTTTTTTTTTTTTACATCGTAATGGGCTTCTACCCGTATTTATTTTTTACGGATTAAAAGGTTTTTTATTATTTAATCGGGGTTTACCGATCCCGCTCGCACTCTCGACCCGCGTCGCGGAGTTCGTTCGCACCGCTGCGAATACTTGTCACGGTTCGTCGTACTTCGCTCAACAAAGATTGCCCTCCCATCCTAATTCCGTTCCTTCCAATTACCGTCTTTTCGCTTTTATTATTATTATTTTGCTTTATTTTTATTATTCGTATATTTTGATCCTCTGCAGACTTGGGATTTTTCCCGACGGAACGACGGCGGTGACGTCCCGGGGGACATACCGAAACGCCTAAGTACCGCAACGTCAACGAAACGGAGACGGTGGAAAAAATAATAATAATACGACAGGGCTCGATGAATATTTATAAGGTTTTTTTCGTGATCTTTGATTTAGCAGAATTTTTTATCAACGAAAATATTTCGTTTTCTCCGTGGGGGAGAAATACGTTTTGTGTTCACGTCGACCTGTCAATCAGTATAGACATAATAGTGTAGTGTTTATTTTATAACCCGTGTAATGGCAGTGGCTGTAATATGTTTGCACATGTATAGTAATAGTAAACCTCGTAAAGAGTATACATTATGAACCCTACGAAAAAGAGACACGAATTCGGTAGAAAAAAACACCCACTCACGTTTTGGGAGGATGATAGACGAAATCATCGGTACGACCATCACGCTGTCGCCTGTCACCTTTTATAGATCACGTGATTTACGCGTTACAAGACGTATTACTTTGACATAAAATGTTTTGTTTTGTTTTTCAACAGGAAGTGTTTGGAACCCGACAGTGAGTACAACAATGTTCGAGGAATTTCGGTCATTCTGCTTAATTATTAACGAATCGCTGTTTACGTAGAATTACATACTACCGCACTCGATTCAATGGCCTAAATCGGTGTCATCGGAGTCCATCCGCCGATTTAAGCAAACATGAATTTTGCTGTCACTAGACCAACGACGAAAATTATATAATTGTTTGTACCTCGTAAATGAAACAATAATTATTGTTGCATAACAGTACCCGATGCAGTGTGTATGGAGCTTTTAGTTTTATGTACATTTAATGTGCACCTACCTGTATGAATTGTGATACTATATACATATATATTTATATCATTTTAACCTTGCTGTGAGAGTGTGACGACAGGAAACTTTTGATTTTTTGAGGTGTAGATAATATGTATAAGTTGCAGTCAATTCTACGACACCGAAAACAACTAGAGTCATTGAGAAAATGAACAGTTCCGATAAGTTAGGTGACGCATAAGGTTTTTCGCTTTTTCCTTAGAGTACAACTACGTCGAATAGTTTGGCGAATAGTAGTTATGAAATAAACCAATATTCATAATATTTTTACATCCTAGGACTTTTTATTCAGGATCGAGACATAGTAACTATTCATATGCTATGAATCTATGATGTTGGAAGTGAAATTAAAATTCTAATTTATTTGATACGTTAGCTCTAACTTGACAACCACTCGCTTCTCATCATTCGCTCTTAAAGTGTTAATTTTCAATCGCAACAAAAATACATTTTTAACTCCTCCACCACCCCTAACCTATACACAACTTTTTAGTCCTACATCCGAATGAAGAGGAAATATACAAATGAATTCTTCGTTATTTTATACTCATGACGTAGGCACATTTAAAATGGACAGAGAACCATGTACCTACTAGTATATTTACATAATTATCGTCTATATAAGACTACATATCTTATATTTTAATATTCACACATTTTGTTGGAATTCACAAACATCGAATCATTTTATTTCGCGTAATAATAATATAATAATAATGTAATATAATACACATCTCGCGTATAGGGGCTAGCGCGTACACACATAATTTTTTAATAATTTGGTGCAAACTTATATGTAATACAATATCTCGGTGCGTAGGAACGTCTTATACATGGGCACCTAAAACTTTTAGATCTGTGTAAGAACTCGCCGTTTTAACGAGGACCGGCGCGGTATAGGTATGTTTCGGGAAAATCGTCTGCTGGTTATTACCGCTGACCTGCGTGCGGTCGTTCGGTATCATAATATTTACGGTATAGGTACAACTCTGAACAATCGTCGCGGTCCTCAGAGATACACGAAAGCGCAGCGTTCCTTTGCGGGTAGGTACCACGTAATATAATACGTACACGGCGAAATAACCGTTGCCTTATATTCAGTATATTACAGTATACATTATATTATATAGCGCAACCCTTTTTTTGTCGTCTCCTCCCGGAAGGAGCGGCACCTCGCTAAATCAAACGCGACTCGACGAGAGACGTCTTTTGAAGAGACGTGCCTCTGCGGTTAATGCACACCGCTCGTGACTGCTGCAGCGTTGAGCACATTATGCGATATATTTTCCGCGAGACGACCGTGTTTACCCCTACAACGACAACGTTATTTGCATTCGAAATGTCAAATTACGTTTCGTCGCCAGTTTCGTTAATCGACGCAATTAGCACACTCTAAACACTGTTTCATAACATTGACATTTCCCAAAGGCCTTACAATATTATGTATATACGCGTAAACCGCGTGTCTCTCTCTCGTCGTCGTATTATTTATATATACATATTTATACACACTAATGGCACACGCGCGCGCGACGGCTAATCATCGTCCCGCGCCCTCTTTACGTTGTTATTATTATTATTATTATTATTATTATTATTATTATTATTATTAATCGTCAGACGGCGTTTGTCGTACGAAATATATTTTATTATTATTATGCCATCGGCGTCGTCGTCGTTATATTATTATCATTATTATTATTAATATTATTATGTTCTCATCGACGATTAAATACCGTGACGACACGTCACAGTATTTACACATGTATATATATATATTATTTATACTTCTGACGAGTCTCATAATATTATCCGTTGCAATATTTTATATAATTGGAAGAAATGAACGGAACCCCGGCGTGTCTCCCGACGCCGACGAACGGCCAACGAGTGACAGTCGAAATCCCCGACGGATTGCCGGCCCTAATGATGATCGTCGCTCGAGAGGTGAGTACATTACACACGCGTCAACCTAAACTTGGTCTTAAATAATTGCCGACTCATAAATACGCCAAACGTCTTGCAGACCAGACGGACCATGTCACGTGTGGGTTTTCCCACCCTTTTCTCATATAAAACTGACTCGGTCACACCATCCGCCCCTCTAGAATTTGCCCTTTATGAAGAGATTTGGAACTTCACTTGATTATATATATATGAGAGTTATGTCATGAGAAATGTATGTCTTTGCGAATAAACTATAGTCCCTTTGCAGTGTAACACGCTGTTTGGAAATAATACATTTTTTTTATCCAATCATCCGGCTTATTTCCAATCTTATTTTGAGGCTAACAATGGTTAGGTCAGTCATAATAATTATAATTGTAAAAATAATAATCTTTAAGGATACTATTTAATAACGTATTATTAGTTATTAAACACACAATATTTTGTATTAGATATTTTTTCATTACAGCTAATGTGGGTATTATGATTCATTTTTTACTATAAATTAATTAATAAGAATGTCAATAGTAGAACAATCAGAATGATTTATATAGATTAGAATTGGTTCATTATCTTAGTGGTGAACACTTCTATACTTGCCTTGAGCGACAAATTGGACATTTTTAATAAATCTAAGCTTGAGGTTACTTTTATTTTACGCCATCTAAGTGATATCAAAAAGATTCTGTTATCCAAACATACAAATACAATTTTCTATATATTTTTTTAATTTAAATTTTAAAATTCAAAATAATTACTGAGCTAAGAACTTGTGTGGAAGCCCAGAAGTTATCTTGCTTAAGCTATATTTAAAAATAATATTTATTTATTAATGCAATATTTATGCCTAACCTTTCATTATTGATTTAGTATAAAAACTACAAATAGCGTACCTACCTACTTCATTACAATGGAAATTTTTTCAACACTTTTCAGTTTCCTACCTTATATACCTATTATATTATATTGCACATTTATAGGTGATGCGTCATTTTCCCGAAGACGAATGCGCGGCGTACTCAATCGTAGCCAATTATTTGGAAGAAATGATCAAAGAGAATAATGAAAAAGAGGTATCGTGCATGGACGAAGAAATTACTCCAGAAATGATTACTCAAAACGTGATCAAAACCGTTGAAAACTACGGCGTTACACCCGAATCGGCTAACGACGCTGCGATTATAATACAAGTAAATAGTTTGCCGGAATAACTCGATTAGCTTAATAATGATATGATATTATCAATAACACCATGTCGTTGTGCTTCGTTAAGAGGGCTTGGAGGAAATACAATAAATCGGTTTCGAAAATAAAATCCGATTCTTTGGGAACGGGAGATCACGACTTATCCAAGGAAATTTGGATGGACAGTTACGAGGAAATTAATTATGAAAACGATTCCGACGACATGGAACGTGTGAATGTAGTGAGAAAAGGTCAGAGAGACTATGTGCCACCGATTCCAGATTTCATTGACGATCTATACTCGTTGAAAGATGAAGACAATTTAGACGGCCAGCCAAAGGAAGCTCTTTATGAAGACGAAGAATACAACTACAAATCCATAGACAACGAATTGAGCCGTGAAAAGATTGATCAAAGCGTGATAAAAACGGAGGAAAAACATGTGTCTTCAATACAAGTAAATAGTTTTGAGGAATAATTCAATTAGCATAACAATAATATTATATTATAATATCATGTCATCGTTCTTCGTTTAGCCTCATTCTTTGGAAATGGGAGACCGCATCTCCTCTAAAGAAACTCTGATGGAAAATTACGAGGAGATGAATTACGAAAACGATTCTGACGACATGGAACGTGTGAACGTAGTGAGAAAAGGCCAGAGAGACTATGTGCCACCGATTCCAGATTTTATCGACGATGTAAACTCGTTGAAGTACGAATAAAATATAAACGGTCGGCCAAGGGAAACTTCTTATCAAGACGAATAATATAATACTTCAATAATTTGTAGATGTAAAGCTGTACACATTTTTGATTTGATTAACCCCCGATTTATTTTTTTTGTATATTACAGAACTATTCAATGCATCACCTACAGACAGCAATACATTTTGTTCTTGTAAACACTTTCGTTTTAATCTTATTAATACTTTAAAACAAACCTTTTTCTATTGTACATTTTCCACAATTAGGTATCGGTCACTGTGTTTGCTGCGGACTTTTAAGGATTTTAAATTGTTTTTTTATCGAATTTGGGAAATAATTAAAACTTAGGTAATTCAATTTAGTTTTATCTTGCCAAAATATGTGTGGTATGTACTACTGTACTAAGTACTATATTAGAAGAACTTTTTCTCAACAGTCAAAGTAATAAAAACAACTTCTTTTTATCTTCAAATAGGGTATGTTAGTACCTTAGTACGATATCAATAATGAAACCAGACTAACTTAAGGTTACTTAATGTCCTGCGAGGGTCTTCGTTTATGTCTGTCTTACGCAGTCAAACTCACAATAAAATACAATTTTATCAAATGGGGTGCATCTCCCAAGCAAGGAACCGTAATAAATTATCAGATGAGTGATGAGTGATGACATATTATACGACATTCTAGGACCAGTTCTCAAACAGTAACACCAAACAAATTCGTTTTCCTTTAGGATACAAGATTGGACAAACTAATATAGTTATAAGACAAATATTATTTTAAAGCTTGAGCTCATAGCTCATATTACCTTTTCTAAATTTGATGTTATATACTTAATTATCTTATAAATATGTAGTATTACATTTAATTACAACACTTAAATAGCTAAAAAAAAAATGTATGTACCAATGGCCTCAATTCCGACAGTTATTTTAATAATTATAATAATAATAAAAGAAGGTGACATTGAATCTTATATTTGGCATACTATGTACTTCATATATTATATAAGTATAGGTATCTAGAGAATATACTATATGGTTTAGTCGGGTGGTTTTAAACTAGGGAGTGTCAACGGCGATAATTAGAATAGGTACATTAATTTGGTGTCCTGGAAATAAATTTTGAACATCAGCCGCGTAATGATTATCTGACATATTATCTAGACATTTACCACGATATACCAGACTTGATGGAATCGAACTGGTAGCACATTATATTAATATAACAATAACAACAATAACAGTAAGATGCCTATCCTATGTAGTTGACAAAAACGTGACAAAACATCCCTCGCACACACATAATATTGCTTATGTCGAGTGTGCGTGTAGTGTGCGTAATATATATTAAGCGACGGTAACCCAATACTGTTTTAGACGCACTATATAATGACAGAACGCTCGGGGAGGGCGTTGACTGGTCTGTACTCGAGTATTATAGGTGGTGGCGGTGTTGAGACACACATTATGTGTCCGGGGCCGAGAGACGTCAGTAATGAAATAAAAACAAGGTATTTATAATGACATAATCGAATGGTCCGGTGCCTGCAATTTGGACCCGGAGGCTGCAACGGCAGCGGATGATGATGGACGAACGTGCAGCGCGCGTGTTCGGGTTGCCGATGGCCGCGCGAGGCTCGGCTGGAAATTATAACTCCAATCTCGCACGCCGGACACGTACGGCCGATAATATTACCGCCGAACATTCGTGTGTGTGTGTGTGTGTGTGTGTGTGTGTGTGTGTGTGTGTGTGTGTGTGTGTGTGTGTGTGTGTGTG